GTCGAGGCAGAAGGCCGCCCACCAAGAGCCGGGGTCTGTCGGAGGTTTCTTCCGTTAAAGGGAGTTTTTCCTCCCCACTGTCGCCAAGTGCTTGCTCAAGGGGATTTGTTGGGTTTTCCCTATGTAATAATATTGATAACAGTAAGGTCTAGACCTTACTTTGTAAAGTGTCCTGAGATGACTTTTGTTGTGATTTGGCGCTATACAAATAAAATTTGATTTGATTTGATATTTGGAGAAACAGGGTGTGGCCCACAGAACAATTGATTAGAGTGAAGGATCAGGCCACAGTGCAACAATCAGCCAGTAATAGAGACTGTATGATCACTTTATCAAACAGTGGGTTGGACAAGCAGAACACAGACTTGCAAAAATGTGACGTCTTCACCACTTTGCCTGAGGTCTACTTGCTGAGGTCCCTGTTTTACCCCTAAACCAACGACTGTATGTCTGTTGTGTCTGTCGTTTGTCTTCAGTAACTCTCAAACTAACAATGATATCAGCACCATTCCAAATGCCAGGAGTAGGTTTTCATGGCCAAGAAATCATATTATGAGGGTCAAATTATCATGAGAATATTGCTTTAATGGCATTATGGGGAAACTGAGTTGCTCTTGGTGGGGGTTTGTACTCTCTGAGTAATGTCTAGTACTTCTACTCCATTCCATTTCAGAGGTAAATATCGCCCTTTCTACTACATCTATTTGATAGTTGCAATGACTTCGCTGATTTTACATATAACTTAATAAAGTATGATGCATTATCACAGACTACACTACTCAACAGGATAAAAAGCTGTTAATGTTAGTTTACTAGCTACAACATTATTTGTTTTTTAGATGTGGAAACAAAAAAATGGTTTCATATCTCATATTTTCTCATAATATTAAATATTCATGACAAAATTAGCAACAAAGTAAAGAAAACAAGAAAAAATATACTTTATTATTGCATCTTTTAGTAGGATTTTTAGGTTGTGTGAGAATTCACTTCTATTCACTATTTAGTGCTACTGCAGTATTTACTCTCTGCTGGTTTGTTTCACTGACCAATTCTGAAAGATGAAATGTATGCTCTATGTAGTGCCCTCAAAAACATAACCATTAATGAAGTATAAAATTACTACAGGCTGCACATGCTGTTTGTCAGCTGTTTCATCAGCTGAGCCACATTCAACCAGTGAGAAGGGCACAAACAAAACAGCACAGACAGAAATATCTCCTGCCAAATAAAAAACAACTGTGCTCATGTAAGATCCCAGGAGTCGTTAGCGAAGCTGACTGAGAGAACATGAATAAAACTAGAAGGAACTATTCTGCATAATGATTACTTTAACTTTTGATACGTTAGGGATATTTTGTTGATATTTGTGTAGTTTTTAGTAACATTTTGTTTGCAGGCCTTGTACTTGTCATGGAGTAATTTTAAATTATGGTATAACTATTTTCTTTTAAGTAAGGGATGTGAATATTTCATGAATTGGTGACATTTTAACATCCAGACAGCGTATGGGTGTGGCAGCACTGTCAGCTAGGGCCTCACCTGGCTATCCTGCAGCGTCTCCTCGCAGCCCTCGAGACCCAAACACACTGTGTCGCTACACTGAGGACACACCCAGACCAGGTCACGCATGGTCCGCACCACCGCTGAGGAGAGCAGGTGGTGAGCGAGAGAGAGAGACCGAGTTATAAAATGACCCTTTTGTCTGACTGCCTCTGTGAAAACACAGCTGCTTACTGACAGCCTGCAATACGCATGCAGTGTGTGTCAGAGGGGGAAAACGAGTTTTACCAGAGGTGATGTGTTCCTGTTTGAGCCCAAGCAGCCCAGTAAGGATCTCTAGACACCTGTCGCTGTAGCTCCGTCCAATACGACCTGCACCCAAACCAGACAGGACAACACAGTTCAACCACAGTAAATCGAAGTCCCACAGCTCTTTGTTGTGATCTGGCGCTATGCAAATAAAACTGAATTGAATTGGCCCAACAAACAGGGAGAAACCAGAAACAACATTGTCATCCCTTATGTGGCTGGTTTATCAGAGAAGTTAAAAGGGATATTTCGCAACCACAATATCCCAGTTAACTTGAAGCCAGGGAACACCCTGCTGCATAGACTGGTCCACTCGAGGACACACAAACACATGGCCCAACACAGGAAGGCCAACTCCAGTGGACCAGAGTCAGCAGTCCACCTACACCTGAAGGACAAAGGACATTCTTTGTCCAGTTGATTTTTTTTGGTTTAGTATCTAGTTTTTTCAGTTTACTATGACCTGGATGACTGAGAATCTGCACAGACATCACTCAGGTAATCAAACAAGGATGATAATAGGAAATTCTTCTTCCCCATCACAAGTAAATAGATTTGAATATCATCGGCATAGCAGTGAAAAGACAGGCCGTACTTCTTGAAGGAAGATCCCAGTGGTAGTAGACATAATGAAAACAAAACTGGACTGGACAGAACGTTGGGGGACCCCACATGTAAAGGGAGTGACAGATGAGTAACCCTCAATACAAACAAAAAAATACTTCTATTGGACAAATAAGACACAAACAATTTCAGGGTGACACCACAAATAACATCATAGTTTTCATGATGTGATAGTAAAATACTATGATTCATACCTATCGCTGAGATTGCAGCCTGAGCAGTGTCAGCATTGACATCAGTGCAGTATCCTTTTAGCTCATCCAGTAACATTGCTACAGTCTCGTCATTCACCAGCTCCACCAGCACCTGCAGACACAACAGGACTGTCTGAACTACTGTTAACACTGGGTAGCAACTGTGGATGCCATTATCATTCAGTATTGCACTTCCATACAGTTGGAGGTCAAATTAGCAGGTTGAGGCTTTTAGTCTCGAGTGTGGTTCAAGCTTTTTTGTCATACACTGTCAGACATGTTGTTACCCTCATTTCTATATGTTTACAACAACAGATGCATGTTTAGCTCCCAAACATGCTAAAAATAATTATTAAAGGCATAGCTCAGCATTTTGGGAGCTCATTTTCTTGCAGAAAGTTCGATGAGAGGACTGGGTCTCATTCATTTCTAAGTGTTTTCTTAAGAAAAGGTCCTAAAATTATTCAGGAACACGTTTTTAAATGGCAGAATTATTCACAACTGTGCACTTATACTGATGAATCCCATATAAGTTGAAAGCACATTCCAGTCATTCCTTATTAGCATAGGTTAACGAGACTGTAGGGCCAAGTGCACAGGACTCTCACACAGAAACACAAAAGAGAAATTGAGAAAAACAGGAATGCTACAACAAAAGTCTAAAGATGTCTAAAGATGGTGAAGCAACAAAGTCCAAACCAAAGAAAACCTTGAGTAGTGATGAAGTGGAGAACAATGAATGAGCTGCTATATTCAGTAGCCTGACTAGTGGATATGAAATAAAACAAAAAAGACACATGGGATGCTCTTAATTGATCAGTGTATACTATAAGGAGCAGGGAGCACAACCGATAAAGTAAAAGGATGGTTTGAGCTCAAGACTGAGGCAACAAAACAAACACGGGAGAGAGACGCTGAGCAGTGGAGGAGGACAGGCCGGCCCAGAGTGATCTGAGCTGGACCAGCACATTGGGGCCACACATGGCTCTCTCAGCTGAGCGCATCTCCATGGTGCAGCCGGGTCCCTTGTATTTGTTTAAAAAGACCATAATGCTTTGTAAAATAATGGGAAAAATACAAAAAAAAAAAAAAAAATACTAATAATAACAAAACTTTTATTGTAACTTTAATCTTATAATATTATATAACTGTATAAGAACAATACTAAATTAGCAGTTGTTTCACACACATGTCAGCGCTCAAATGTGCATAAGTGTACTTTTGTTTTTTGTCATGTTAGTCATTATTCATAAGCTACGGTCAGGTTGCAGCCTAAAATGTGGAAACAGAAAATGGCAGCATAGCAGTAGTGAAAGTAGAAAAAAAGCACAACATTGGGAGGATAAAGATAAAAAGATGAAACAGTTATGACCTATTTGACTGAAGAAATGCACCACTGAGTCAAACAGGCATCACCTGCATCTTCCTTTGCTTGATGTATGCTGGCTCAGCATAGCCACAAAAGAAACGTTTGTAGTGAGCGCACATCAGGCCAGGGAGAGAACGCAACAGCAACTGCAGGAAGACACAATCATTTTATCACAATTTCATTTCCAAAATGTATCCACACTTGCACCTGAAAAGAAATTTCCACTGACAAAGAAAATACTGAACTAATAAAAGTAGTGCTGCCATAAATAATATACCCACAGCACACCAACACACACACGCACAAGCAAATGATTTGGCTTTCTCATGCAAACCATCTTGTCCAGAATTTGCATTGTGCCTCGCCAGTTGAGGCACTGTAAGTGAATTTATACATTTATGACAATTTCACCAACAACTGAAACACTGTGAGCTTCAAAAACACAGATGATAAGGTGGAAGTGTTGCATAGAAGTGCATAAAATTGTACAGGTGTACCTAATAAAGTGGCCAGCAAGTGTATTTTATGCCTCCGTGCTGGCAATAGCTGTGGCCAGAGGCATTATATTTTCGGGTTGTCCACCCTTGAAAAAGAGACTTCACCCCCGGTTAAACAAAGGTTAAAAAAATAAAGTAAAGCCAAATGTGATAGAAAAGGAAGAGAGACAATTGAATAAATAAATAAATTAACAAAAATAATATATGATCACAAAAATATATAAATAATGAAAAAGAAGTAGACTAATGACACAAGTAATTAACACGCAAGATATCACTGCAGCTCCAGACAGGTATATAGTATCTATATACACATACTGTACAGTATATACTCATGTGTACATATATTAAACCCCTTGACTTTTTGCACTTTATTTTGTTGTAGATTTAATTTTAAATAAATTGTACTGTAGTGGCCTTGAGTGCTCAAGACACTGTAACGTAGGAAACTATAGTACATGCAAAGTACATGCAAGCCACAGGGAACAGGGTACTGCAGCAGCCAAGACAGACGTCAGTACATGTCTACAGTTTCAAATGCTGCATTAATGACATGTGCAAATATTGTTAGACACCTCCTGTCCTAAGCACTTCACTTCACACTGACCTGTATGTGGCAGAGGGCAGTGAACCTCATCTCTCTGGATGCGCTCCCACAGGCGGCCAGCAGCGGCGCACGGAACCGCTCCACGGCCGCCAGGCTGACAGCGCAGAGGGTGGGGAAGAGGCTGAGCGTGGCGGCCATGACTGGAGGGTGGGGGCTGACCAGGGAGGCATCCAGCAGAGACAGGATGTCAAAGAGCTCGTCCTCTGACTGAGGCTGGTAGCGCTGGAGGATCCTCAGCACCTCGCACTGACCCCAAATGTCACACTCCTTCAGCCTGGGAGAACAGACACACACAGACTTGTAGACGTCCACCTAAAAATTTGTATGCTACTGAAACGAGCAAGATGGTGACCTCCAGTATCTGCTTGGTCTGTCAACAGGAATATGAGCTACAGGTGTGAACAGCATAGAGACAAAGGCATTTGTTAAAGGTAATTAATTGCTGAATGTAAATAGATAAAAGTGCTCTATTCAATAAACAAGATATTTGTAACAGTGTAGAAACAATCATCAGCCTGTGCCTTGTTGTTACACTGTGCAAGGATAAATTTCTCTTTACCAGCATCACTTTATTCAGCTTTCTTAGTTCTTGTGTGTGACTTTTGTACAACAGTGGGGTGAGGTGACAACAGTATCTTAAATGTCAAGCTTTTTGAATACAAAACAAAATCTTGAAGTTCCACATCCAGGGTGGAACATGTTTAGGCATCTAGACAGTCATCATATCTTATGGATAGTTATGACCTGTAGCCATAGGTTTTTGGATTAAATAAACAATATGTATGAGCTAAATAGAAGAATTGAGAGGTTCTAATAAGTGTATTTGTTTACATTTGGACAGACCCAGGCTGACTGTTGCCCCCTTTTACAGTCTTAAATTAATCACCTGCTGGATCCAGCTTCATATTTAGCATACAGATATCTGACTCAGCTACTGAATTAGAGCCTCTGATAAAAAGAGTAAATGTAATTTCCATCTCTGCCTGCATGTGTAGCATCATCCAATTCAGATTTTAATGTGAATTCTAACTTGAATCAAAAGTTAGGAACTAGTTTCTCCGGGAAGGCAGGAGAATAATATCACAAAGAAAACAAGTTCCTGGAAATGTCACTGGAGACTTTGTTGTGAAGCATCTAGAAAGGAAGCACTTGGGAGCAATTTAGCTGTGCTAATTAGATTAAGTGTCTTTAGATGAATGGTTTATGGTTACACAGAGATACAGGCTCAGTTCTGCAGATTCAGGCTCTGGTTTGACACAGAATGAACACAGAATCACGCTGAAGAAAAAACAAAGATGTTCTACTTTTAAGCAGCATTCAAACAAAGAAATCTAAAAACATTCCAGATTTAATACAATGCTCTGTGTGTGATGAATATCAGTTCCTTATTTTATCACTCTGTCATCAATCCTTCCATCTTATGTGGGCTGGACTAAGACGTAAGTGAGGGAAACATGGATGCAATTAGGGGAACTGCAGGTTTTCCTGACATATTTAAAATTTCATTAGTGTTCTTTTCATTGCTTGCGACATAATGTACTCTTCCTCCTCAGATCATACAGGGCAATAACAGACAGTATGCACTTAAAGGGTAGAAGTCTAGGTTTGTGCCAAAAAGCTAACTCCTATTTAAATATCCTCATTTTGACAGTTCTCATTTATGGGCATGATTCTGTGATGCTCTGACTGTGGACCAACCTGTTGAGGAGGTGATGGGTAATAGGTTTGTTAATAGCAACTCCTCCCTCCTCCTTCAGGATCTCCTCCAGAGCACGGAGGCAGTTCACCATTACCACGGGGTCTGGGTCTCTCAGCAGGCTGTACAGCTCATTCACCACTGCAGCATCTGGAAGAATCATCAAGAGGTTTGTGCAGGCATATACAAGTCATACCGCAAAAAAGATAATGCATACATCAGCAATAATTAAACAGTTCATCATTAAATTAAGTAACGATACAATTAGAGTTAAAAGAAATATAAATTCTATACATTATGATTTCCCTTGACAATGTCTAAACTCAGCTGCTGCGTCCTGTCGAAATCATCTAAATGCCACTGGAGGTCATTGTATGTGGGGTTTTAGATTGTTCTCATCCCTTTGTATGCAAAACTGTCCACCACCTTATTAAACTCCAGTGCTCTGAACAGGTCTCTGGCTGCTAACAGCTAATTCTGCACTCTGATATAACAAGGAGGTTTCCCTCTTTGTATATGGAACATTTTTCACCCATGACTTTTGCAATCTGAGCAGTTTAAGGCTCAACAACATGATGGCCTCCTCAGTTGTTTCTTTAAACTCCCATGTGTGCATGCATCTCTTAATGTCAAAGAGCCAGCTTTAAAGACAATTCTTCATGTGAGTGCTGTCTGATTAACCTGACAAAGACCACATATTAAACTGTAACAGTTTCTCTCAAAACTACAAACACTGCTGGACCTTGGGCTGCCTCCCTTCCCCATGCACCTTACAAGTGAGGTCAGGGTCCCAAGACTGGTCAATGAATGACAGGAATATGCAGAGAGAGTGAAAACCAGAAAGCCACCCCACCTATTTCTGAGCTGGGCTGGAGACTGTGTAGTTTGGCCCAGCCGAGCACGGCCACTCGTCGTACACAAGCTGCTCTGTCCCTGAGTCCTGCTGTCAGAGGCTGCTCCACATACTCCACCAGACTGGGTAACCTGGGACGCAGAGATACACATTATTCCAGCAATCCCAGGCAGATATGACGGCTTGTACTGAGGTGGATGTGTGCAGCACTTCACCTGAGATTGGTCATGTTCCTCAGAGCCAGGCTGCGGACCATAGGGTTGGGATCCTGACAGTCTTTCCTCAGTGTGTTGATGACCAGCAGAGACAGCTCTGGGTTTAAAGCAGCATAGGAACACAGGAAGACATAGACCAGTTTCTTCTGGACTATATCTACTGTGGCGCAAGCTTTTACCATCTCACTGAACAGGCCTGACACATCTACACCCTGTGACATCGTCCTGAGGCAGAGAGAGGGGAGTTGAAAAAGCCATGTAGAGGAGGAGAGTTGGAATGAGAGTACAGAGAGAGAAGGGGAAGGGGGAAGGAGAGGGGCAGTTGGGATAGAAGGGAGTTGGGGGAAAAAGAGGGAGAAAAAGTGAGAGAGTTGAGGAGAAAGAGGAAAATTGGGGAAGAGTAGAAGGTAAGATATCAATTGGGTAAAATGGGCAACGAGAGAACAGGACACAGGAAATATGATATAATAATCTAAACATGGGCAAGACGCAGAAAAGACAGACAGCATGCTATACGAGTGTTCTGCTGTCTGACTGAAGAAACACAGACAGGACCTAAAGGTAAACAGAAGAAGAAGAAGGAAACCAGGTTCCAGTGTTAACCTGAAAGAATCTAAAAGTGAAATATGGTCTGGAAGGCAAGCTTTCTTGAAATACTTGCATTTAAGGGGCTATTTCTGAAAGAGAAGAGGGCTGCTCTGCACAGAGTTATGAATGGTCCACTTGACCATTCATGATGCCTGTGTACTGCCACAGGCATCATGCCTGTTCACCGATTTATGTACAGCAGACTCATGTGTGGTGATGTTAACCACTAAGACTTTGAGCATTATCTGTTATGTCTTTAAAGGCATCATACCAGGGCGCCCACTTCCAGGGAGAGAAGTCACAGTACTAATTTGTCTCCACAGTTTGTCAAATTGTGGACTGATGAAACTTAGTGAAATGACTTTGTGTAACCTTTTCCAGCGTTGTGCAAATCAACAGATCTTGATCTTAAGCCTCCTGAGTTCTCTTTTTAACAAGACATGGTTTAACATGGTTCATTGAGTTCTCTTTTTAACAAGACATGGTTCACATCAGAAAACGCTTCTTGTCTTCAGCAAACTCAGCATATCTGTGCTTTTTATGTCAAAGTAGCTCCAGCCCACATCTGCAGTCTCGTTTCATTGGTAGGACTCATCACTCCAATTAGTTTTCATTGATGGTTTTAGCTGAAGGGCTCACATGCTTTTTCCACCCCACACTGTGACTGTTTGAATGATGTATTTAAGTTGGACAAGTGTAGTACAAAGATTTGTACCGTTATTTGATGTATTTTGTCTATTCATTATTATAAGGTAGATGAAGACCTGCCCATATGTTAAGACAATTTTAGGCATAAATTCAGGTCATTCTTGCCTCTGTAAATCACTGTGGCTAATGGAGAAGGCAGAGGGTGGAGAGTGTCTATGACCTACCTGATGACTTTGAGGACAGTGTTCCTGTAGCGCAGATGGTCAGACTGGACGTTGGGGTTGGACAGAGCTCTCCTCAACTCCCTCACGGTGTCCTCGGTGCCCAGATAAGGCATGGTGGCCGCTGACAGCCCGCACACTGACAAGAGAAACACATAACGCTGGCTCTCACATCCAAGTACATACATATACACAATTTAGGCATTTTTAACAGGGGGAACACATCTCGACACAAGACCAGTTTAGCGTTATACACAATTATAAGAGACCAGAAGAAAACAAATCATGACTTCATCGTACAAAATGAGCCAAAGGTAAAAACTATACACGTCTCAGCCTTGCAAATGTAAAATAAAATTTGCTACATTCACAATCTGTATTAAACAGTAAAAATATTACCGTTAAACACTTCAAATAAGGGATTTCATTAGTAACTCGACTTGGGTGACTGGATTGTTTACACCTCAAACATTTCCGACTTTCTTCTTCTTCTCTGGTTACGCAAACTAAACGCTGCAATGTCGTACTGCTGCCTCTGCTGGTTGTGCTCATTTTCAGCAGCTCTTTTCATTTTGTTATGCAATCCAACATCGTTTTTGGCTTGGGTTAGGGAAGGATGCATGGAATACTTCCTTTTTCTTTTTCCTCTATCACCTGTATTTACTGGCATGCTGCTGGTTGAGGTAGGAACACAACAGGCACTTCCTCCTTTGGGAACCATCAAAGAAAAACTATTTTCAAGCCACTGACGAGGTTCACTGATGTTTTCGGGTTGCTTTTCTACTTCAGCCAGAGGATGTCTTGTAATGGCATTATGTGTGGAATGGCATTATGAAATCTGAAGACTACCAGTGAATTCTGGGACACAATGTAGGGCCCAATGTCTGCATCAGAGGTCATGGGTCTTACAGCAGGACAATGATCCAAGGCAGACTTCAGAAAGCATCAGAAATGGTTTCAGACAATGAGCTGGAGAGTTCCGAAGTGGTCAGAAATGAGTCCAAATCTAAATCCCAAAGAGCACCTGTGGAGAGATCGGAGAACAGCAACTGGGAGAAGGAAGCCTTCAAATCTGAGACCTGGAGCAGTTGGCAAAAGAAGAGTGGTCCAAAACTCCAGTAGCGAGGGAGAAGAAACTCACTGATGGTCACAGGAAGTGATTGATTTCAGTTATTTCAGATTTCATTGATTTCAAGGGTGTGTTACCAAATATTTAAAATGAGGCTTTCAGTAATTCTGTCCAGTCCATTTCTGGAGAGTGTGGAGTGGATCAGATTTGGCATTTTTCTGCTTTGTTGTTGTTCCAATGGAAACAAAAGAAATAAATATGAGAATTTGTAACTGCAATAATTTTCTGGGAGAAGTGGTGTGTTATCTGACAGAAACACAGGGGTGCCAATATTTTTGTCCATGACTGTGTGTATATCCCTCCTGTTATGTTCATTTTTTAAGGCACAGCAGTGATGTTCCTGGGTTAACTTTACCATTACTAACCATTTCAATCACTATTTAGTGCAATGGTGTTCTTTACCTCTCAGATTATGGTTCAATGAGGATAATGCACTCTCTTTTCATAAAACATGCATGTTAAAACTTTTTTTAATGTACATTGGAAAGACCTACATTTAAAATACATGTTTTACATGCCATTGATTTTTTTAATGTTTCTTTTACATTTTGAAATCTTTTCTTTTTATGAAGTGATGTTGATAAATTAATGAGACATCTCTTGTACACCTCTTCTGTTCTGGGTCTAATTGACCCGAACGGTATCTTTGTAGTATAAACATGCAGGGGGAGGTTGCAAATATGTGAAATGAACCATTTTCATTTTATATGTTGATTATACCTATTAAGCCAAGCAGAAGTTTTATACCAATAAAATACTTTTAACTATTGTTTTTAGATGTTTTAACTTTACACCATAGCAGGAGGGATATATATATATATATTTACACACACACACACACACACACACACACATACAGTAGCATGCTTGGGGAGCACCATGGACTACACACACACACACACACACACACATACACATACACACGCAGGGACATGCCACAGTTGGGCATGGATTGTTGCTGTTGCCACAGTATAGCAGGTAAAACTGGCTTTATCAGGAATGGAGGAGCTGTCCAGGGTGCTCAGTGCTAACAAGGCTGGGGTGCAGAGTTCACTGAACTGACAGGAGTTGCATTTGTAGGAAAACTGGAAGCTATATTTTCCTCAAATTACTCTGGGATGTTACTCACAAACTGCAGTTTTATTTAAATGGCATTTAATCGCCACAAAGAAAGATAAAAGCTATTTTGCTACAGACCCTTTGCAGAGAAAATGCATACTATAGGAGAAGCAGCAGTCAATAATAATGAGCGATCCATTCACTTACTGCCAGGTGCTCCAGCTACAGGCCCTGATATCACAGAAAATTAGAAAATGACTGCCCTTCTCCTGCTGTGATAATGCACAATGTCTGCAGTGAAAAGGCAGAAGTGGTCAGACAAAACTGATGTATTTTTAAGTGAAACTCCAACAAAAACTTGAAGTTCACATCCCAAGTTAACACCCAAACTTCAGTCCGAGTTGGTGATGCTTTTATTGATTGTGAAAAGCAACTCTACAAACACAGCTTTAGACCTCCAGCAAAGTCCAACCCCAATCCAAAGGCAAACATCCACTCCGCCCGCCCCCGTCGGCTGGGGTTTAAAAAGCAGAGCTTCATACAAAGGAAGGGTGGGAAGGACTCAGTGCTGGACAACCGATCAGCTGACACGGAGACATTCTGACCACCACCCAACTGGTCCAAAGGAAGCTGCTCAAGCCTTCCTCTGTGCTGTATGGGCAGAGCCAGGTGCCAGGACAGGTAAGCTCTCTTTCCTCATGATACATTCACATTAAGACATTAACATCATCAACTTCCAATGCAAACCAACCCAAACAAACAATAAAATACTCTCTCAAACATACACATTTACACTCAAATTTCATTATTGGCTGACTTTGGGCAGAATGTTTTGGAATGTTTCCTCAAGACTTTTTTTTCCAGAAAACATTTTTGTATTTAAATACATTTTATAAAGGCAGATGTGTATATGAGATAGAAAAGGAACTGCAAGGAGTGCATATCTAAATAAAAGCAGATGAGCTGGGGCAGTACAACGTACTACCTTAATTTACACTGATTAACAAAATGGTGAAAGGTACGCCTTATTTCAGCAGCTCCGCTCAAAGATGGACAAATAATAGTGTGTGCTGCCTTTGTCCTCTTCCACTGGAAACATGACCCTGTCGACAACATCATCGTGTGGGACGGCAGTGTCTATGACAAATTAGGGCTGGGAGCAGGGCTGTTCTCCTGATTCGCTGCCTGACTTCCTCGTGGTGCAACCTCAATAATACGAGGCTTGTCAATGATGCGAGCGTGGCGGTCGCCTTTCTCTACGATTCCAATTATCCATGCTCCGCCCGCTGTTCCCTGGCCTCCAACGCCAGAGCTCTGGCTCTTCATTTCGGAGCAAAACTTGGCTGCCTGTTCTCTGGGCAAACACACCAGCAGCCCACCTGGAGGGGAGGAGGAAAAGGGGTTTTCAGGTCAACACTAGGGATATAATCATATATATAGGACATGACAAACCTGGGTACACCACTGGTCAATATCAGTGTGAAATAATTATAAATCCTGTCCATTTAACACAAACTGGTTCTATTGGATTCAAGCCAGGGGACATTCTTGGTCAGGTCACAGTTTTAACTCTTTACCTCTGTAAAAACGTGTGCTGTTGTTGCAGTATGCTTGGAAGTTTATCTCAGTATTTGGATAAACACTGCCCTCTGCAGAGCCAAGCTATCTGCACATCTAAGTGTTACTGAACACTTGTCATGACATTAACTACTTCATTTCAGCAGATTAACATGACAGTTGACTGGAAACTGTTTGCGTATCAAACACACCTCCTAGAGACTTTAATGTGTGGCTGTTAGGTGGGTAAGTCAATATGAGGGTCATCTTTAACAGAGTAACAGCAGTCGTGGTGACTAAACTCATGTCAGGTTTGATGGATTTCAATAGTAAAGGCTGATGGCACACAAAAATCAAAACATGCATGAATCCATCCATGTGATCATGATCACTGCCTGCAATTTTACCTAAACACATGTTGATTTATCACCAAACACTCCAAAGCTCCACTAGAAGTATAATATTTAGATTGTGTATGGGATACATTTAATCCTAAAGTTATGACAGCCACTCATATCAAACACCAGATGTATTCTGTGGGGTGGAACTTAACGCATGTTTACATTGTGCATTGATTCAAAGATAAACAGTAACACTGCTTTATTAAACTCACCAGAAGTCTCTGATGATCTGCCCTGAAGCAGGCTGAACGCGTTTCCACAGGCTTTACTGATGGCGGCCATCTTGGCTATGATTGGTAGGTTGTGGATGACAAAGGCCACCTCATTCTGTTGCTGTGTTGCCAGGTTGTTGGCGTGCCCTAACAACCCAAAGCCTGTCACATCTGTTGCAGCGTGGGCCTGGAACTTGTGCATTAGGGCCGCCGCTGGAGACAGAAGCATGAATGAACTTTACACGGGGTCACAGCACCACTTGAACAGACAAAAACCATCTAAAAGTTAGACGCAGGCTAATTCATGCTCAGTCACAACTAAATTAAAGAGTGTGCTGAGATCAGCAGTGTGGACCCAGCTGTTAAAGAATCCTTCAGCTGCAGAGGTTCAGGCCACAAAAATCAAACTGTACATTACCTGTGCGATTCAGCGTTGCCATGGAGAACATGGCTTCCTGATAGGCCTCTTTAACTTCCTCTTTGGTGACAACTAGTTTGATCTTGTTCCACCTTTCAGGCTGGTGAGACAGAGACAGAAGTACAAACACTCCAAATGATGTTCGTAGAGTTGGACGACTAAAGGTATGACGCCTCACAGTAATACGGTTCTGGGTTCGAGCCCCGGCCGACCCGAGGCCTTTCTATGTGGAGTCTGCATGTTCTCCCTGTGCCTGCATGGGCTCTCTCGCAGTACTCCGGCTTCCTCCCACAGTCCAAAGAAATGCAGGTTAGGTTGATTGGTGACTCTAAATTGCCCATAGGAGTGAGTGTGAGTGTGTGTGGTTGTTTGTCTACATGTCAGCTCTGTGATAGACTGGCGACCGGTCCAGGGTGTACCCCGCCTCTCACCCAATGTCAGCTGGCATTGGCTCCAGCCCCTGGGACCCTATTCATGAATGGGTGGTATACATAATGGATGGATGAAACATACAGTACTAATGAAAACACATGATGTGTTGTTATGGTGCGTTAACTGTGACCCAAATTTGACAGTTAAAAGCAGTAAATGCTCATGCTAACAAGGTAAACAAGAGTGGCTGCATCCCAGATTGTCTCCCTATGTGATTGGTCAATGCAGCGCCTTTGCTGGATGATGTCACCGTCCAGTTTGGTGAAAGTTGAACCAGATCCAACTTTTTTACCACACAGGGTTGCATTGTTTTGCCGGAGCCCCCTGTGGTGCCGGTACTGGCTGCAGTGAACACAATTCCCCATAGAACTGAATAAAGAGCTTATAAGGTCTGAAGGTACTCATGTGAAATCATACCAATCCAGCCAGGTGAGTTTGTGGCTAAACCTTTTACAGTGCTTGAATATTGTTGTCTTTTACCGCATATGATAATTCAAAGTAGAAGTGACAGTCATCACAAGATAATTAGTTAAAACATTTCAAAATGCACCTGTATTGTTTTGCATTTTGACTTTTACTCAAAAGACTATTTTTTCAGTCTTAAAATATCGTCTCATCGCATTCTCTTGAACCCATTATTGTGCATCATTTCGTCTCATGACCCAAGTGTATCATCATAACTCTACAACTGACCTGATCAAGCCACTGGTGAGCATTTACAGCGACCTGTGTCCCCAGAGGTTTAGTCAGGACCAGGACGTCACCAGGTACAGCACCATCCGGCCTGGAAGAACAAAACCAAATGCACATTTATTGTTACTGATGCCATGTGTGTCCAAATTAGGTAATCTGGATTTTTTTTCTTATGAACTCAGTTTTAAATATTACTTTATGTATGAAATGCAACAACTTATATATGAACTTCAGGAACAAAGGTCAAATTACTATAGAGGTGGAGTCCTGTAATGACCCTGTCCATGATATAATAGCTTCTTTTTAAGGTTTGTTGTTAAGATGTAGCGATTGATTGGCGGACATTCTTGACATTCTTCTGAAAATCTAAATGCTGAAATCAAAATAATATACAAGTAAAAAAAAAAACCCGACAATCAGCTGAATGCACAGTGAAAACATTGAAAGGTGCTGTTTTTCTTCATTTATAAAAAGTGGATATTTTGGAAATACACAGTTTTCACAGGACAAGAACGAAATGCAAGGTTGAAAAGAGTCTTCATTCAAACAATTCCAACATTTATGTAACACTTCCAGCAAGCTATAAGTACTTGTACTATATACACACCAGTCTCTAAGGGAGGAAACCCATTCAAATAATATTTTTGATTCCACATGGAAAAAGTGCAGCTAACAACGAGCTCACTCACATGATGAACTCGTTGGGCTGGCACACGACTGATGCTACTCCTCCTATGATGATCCAGGGGTTGATAACCGTCTGGCCACCCGTCACGGACGTCCCACCCTCCTCTGCTGCGTCTCGAAAGCCTCGAATCATAAGTGGCATCACCCGCTCACGGTCCTGCATCACACGTGCACATAGAGACAACGCTGAATCAGAGGCCCCTGCTCATCGCAGACATATCAATATATACGCATGTAAAACCCACAAGTCAAAGCTCTTTTCAAAAGATGTAATCGACTCATTTTAACAAGTTAGATTAGCAGAGGGTTCACAAAAGTCACTTGAGTACATGAAAGCAAAGTCAACACTTTGGTATCCACATATTGCAACCTTGTCATTCATCCTCTGGCTGACACTCAGCAGCATTAGCATGTTGTCACACTCGGTGATGCCCATGGCGTAGAGATCACTGAGGACGTTGGCGCACGCTATCCTGCCCTGAGAACAGAGGGAGAGAAAACTGGTCAAAAGAGGCAAATTATTTCATTTCAAGAGCTTTGGCACTGCTGTCTTATCTTAAATGTAATTAGATTTTAACATAGGAGATTCAGGTTGGAACCAAATTTACTGCATCATCTCAGTAACGTTCAGCTATAAAATACCTGGCACTCCCCTAGAACTATTGTTGCTATTATAACTTTTTCATGCTAATATACAGTACAGGTTCAACATCAGTGTATCATCCATTCTTTCAATTATTCCATTCAGTCTGGAAAACAGAAAAAGAAATCCGATTTTTTTTTGTACGATTTAAAAAAGGACAATGATACGTTTTCCTTTTATCAATATGTGGATGAACGAACACATTATGCAAAAACATGTAGCTATTCTGTTTTGTGCATTTCTAACCTCCTTCATTGCGTGAATAAATGAGACTAGCCTTCAGTGACAAGTGATAACAGACTTGTCATCTTAAGAAGTGAATGAATATCAAGTCCACAATAATTTCTGTGTTTGGACAGTCTTACTTCTTGGATGGGTTCCCAGTGAACAGTGGCAGGTGCCCAACTACTTCATGGGGGGATATGTCTGCCAGTAACTCACCATCATGTAGGGATCCTCCACCAGAGGGTAGAAGAAGTCTGTGGTCTGGACCAGTGAGAGCCCTCCGTGTCTCAGGGGAATCACACAGCAGTCCATTCCTACACCTGGAGACACAGCAAGGAGGGAAATCAATGTTCACTACTTGACAATACAGCACAATAAATAATCTTACAACAAATGTAAACATATTCAGAGTGAGAACATCACTTTAGTAGTTTGCAAGTATACTGTCTGTCTATGCATTTTAATGTATCTCTGTGTATCACTTTAGTAGTTTGCAAGTATACTGTGTCGGTCTATGCATTTTAATGTATCTCTATTTGTGTACATTGTGTTACGCACTTTGAATTGCCTTTGCATATGAGAATGTACAATATCAATAAACCTTTTCTACGTGACGGTGTTGTTTGACAAAATTTCATTGTATTTATTACAGGAATAATATAATAGTACGTTTTTATATGGCACTTTTTCAAACAGTCGTTACAAAGTGCTTCCCAAAACCAAGTAACATAAAATTAAAATAAAATCCATGTGCAAAATACACCACATATTGCACATGAATTGATATATATCAACGCAATAAAATAAACATGTGCTTGCGTTACAACATATCAGATGTTTATATGTTTGTCACACTGTTACACTTCTAAAGCCAGTAACCTTGGTGCATTAACTCAATATTGCACAACTCCTTTACAAGACATAATGTGTCACCAGGAGGATGAACTGTGAACTCAACGATCAACAATAATTCTGCTGAATCATACCTAACTGCATCTGGTTACGTGACAACTCACCTAACGCGGCTTCTCTTCTTGGGCTAACGTTAGCTATTTTCCATACATGCATTTACATGTGGCTTAGTGATAACCTACGATTATAAGTAGTTTTTATGTTATGAAATTCGATAGATGAGGGGTATTAAAACAAAATATCTTTATGTGCCCATAGCTGTCCACCTGTGCAATGCCTGCGATGAGTTAAGGCAAGCTAGCATGGTTAGCAACAGTTGCGTAACTAACGTAAACCACCTGGGTCTCTGATAAGATATACTGGGCATCGAGGCTAGGCCTGCTAACTCTGAATATGTTCCTCACCGAGACGGGGTCCGGGCAACTGTTGGTGGAACTCCGATATTTGGTCCCCGGCCTTCCCTGTCATGTCGGCCTGGTCCGGCTGCAGTCCCGCCAGGAGTTTGAGCAGAGCCTCCTGCGGGACCTTGCAGCCTCATCCCTTCATGTCCGAAAAGGATGTGAGACGGAACCCGCGCTCCAGGCCGTGCTCCTCGGGTTTGAAAGGCTTGTATCCAGGGGGGAAACACGCTTCGGATCCCACAACCTCCACAGATGGAGGCGGGGAGGTTCTGCCTGACATGCCTGCCTGAAGAGCGCCTCCAACACCTTACGCCAGTGGTGTAGACCGTTGCATTAACAGAAGGCTGCCTGGAGCGCTGCTTGAACCAGGAAATCAGTGTGAAGTTAACCAAAATAAAGCCCATACAACTTCCTGTTCGAGCGTTCACCATATAAAGTCTCATCGGAAGCACAGTCATCTTTAATAGCCAAGTATGTTTGAACATACGAGGAACTTGACTCCAGCGCAAGAGACTCTCAGTCTGTTTGTAGCAACAGGGAATAGACATTAACAATGAAAACAAAAAATAAATAAAAAAATAAAAAAAATTTGTGCATTCAAATAGGAATATGTACAATCAAAAATAGGAAAGGATTGCAAGAAAACGAGAAAGTATTCACTGGGGTGACTGCTGTGTTCACTTATACAGTCATGGGTTAGCTGTTCATCAGGAAGAAACTGTCCTTGTACCTGGTTGTTTTGACATACAGTGACCTGTAACGACATCCAGAGGGGAGGAGTCAAACGGTTTGTGTCTAGGGTGTGAGAGGTCTGCAGAAATCTTCTCTGCACTCCTGATGACCTGTGAGATGTACAGGTCCTCCATGGAGGGCAGGCTGGTATTGATGATTCTTTCTGCAGTCCTGACTGTCCACTGGAGTCTGTTCCTGTCCTGTTTGTTTGTTGAGCCAGACAGTGATGGATAAGCAGAGAACAGACTTGATGAGTCCTCTGGCGCAGGAAGTACATCCTGTGCTGTGCCTTCTTGGTGATGGTGCTGATGTTGGACATCCACTTCAGGTCCTGGGGGACAGTGGAGCCCAGGAACTTGAATTACTCCACTGATGATAGTGTTGCTGAGTATGGTGTCCACTGTCATCGCCATTAGTTTGAGCATGAGCTCAAAGGTTGTTACAACCACACAACAGGGCCAGATGTTCTACCTCCCATCTGTGGCCCGACTAATCACCGTCTCAAATGAGCCCGATGGCCGCTGTATCATCTGCAAACTTAAGAGTTTAACAGAGGGGATCCCCTAAGTTGTTGGTGTAGAGCAAAAGCAGCAGCACCCCTTGGGGGCTCCTGTGCTGAAAGTCTATGTGCCGGTATAGGCAAACTGCAGGGGGTCTACAACATCCTTTAGATGGGCCATCAGAAGTCTCTCAAAGGACTTCATAACTACAGATGTCATGGTGACAGGTTTGTAGTCGCAGGGTCCACTGATGGTCATGGTGACAGGTTTGTAGTCGCAGGGCCCACTGATGGCGGGTTTCTTGGGGACCGGGATGATGATTACTTTCTAACTTAGTTTAACAGTTATAGTATACATTAAGTACGTTAAACATGGCATGTGAAAATTAAAGGAAAACAATAATCATGGTTTCCGCTCAAGTACATTATACACAAGGCACACAAGATATTAGATACACACAAGGACTGATAGTGGATTTATTGCGTAAATATTCAACAGTCTGAAACAATAGTTTCTGCACCAAATGATCTATAATTACAGACAATATTCACACAAAGTGAAGGAAGTTTGATGCGCTTACCTTCAGACAGATAACAGCCAGGTTCCACAGGCAGAGAGAAAACAGAGTAAGGGGTACAAAGAGGGCTGTGTTGGGTTAAGGATCAGGTCTAACATCAGCGATAAAGCAGTGGCGCAGTCAAAGGTGTACACAGGCACAGAACACAGAGAATGGCTACTATTTCAGTAAGAGCAAATCCATCTCTAATACATAATACGTTCTGAGGTAATGTAGACAAGCAACATTTAGAACCCAAACATATTTAAATACTTATTGTGTAAAACTCACTAGGTTATTCACATTGTCATGCGTTTCCTCCTTTCTGAACTGTCTCTTTTGTCGACATGACATCACCTTAGGCCCCGTGATTACTGATGTGTATAACATGGATGATGCGGTGAAAGCTCACGGCCTACAGTCCCATCTCAGCTTCCACTACCCCAATCATGTACGAATACTGATGGGGCATCGGTGTGCATCTCAGAGGCAAGGCACAGGAAGGGGGTGAAGGGGAGATAAAAGAACAGGTGCATGACAAGAAAAGGAAAATGATGAGTGGTAGTTTGGAAAGCTACAGCACAAATCAAATCCATGGAGCCCTTCTAAGAAAACACCATACTGTCAGTCTTTCTTCACTTATTTATACTATCATTTGATTGTTATATTTCTTGATTCTAACATATTCCCGTTTTAAATTGTAAGATTCGCAGCATGTATTTATGTTTTACATGGTAGAGAGATTAAGGTGCAACTACCAAACAGGGCTGGCAGCAGACGCGCTGAATGGCAGAACTCTAATATACTGTATCTGCAGGTGTGTTGGTATTATGGTGTGCTGAGCTATGTTACTGTATACAGTCCATGACATGTATCTGCAGCGTGTCCATATCTGGAGCCTGGTACTTGCACTTAGGACAACATAAATCTGGCAGCTCCTCAGCTCCAGCTGCCCCTTGATCACCGACTGGTACCAAACCCTGATTGCGGAACGAGGGCGCTGGAGGCACTGTGTTAAAAGCTGGACCGGGGAACACACCTAAAGCAAAGGAGACAGAAAGCATGTTAACACAAATTTATACCAGAAAAAAAAAAGGAGAATATACATTTATATATACTGTGGCTGTGGCTCAGGAGGTAGAGTGGTCGGCAGTTCAATTCCCGTTCTCCCCAGTCCACAGGTTGAAGTGCCCTTGGGCAAGAAACTGAACCCAGAGTCGCTCCTGATGGCCAGAGCAGCGCCCTGTATGGACAGCGCCACCATAGGGTGATGGCCAGAGCAGCGCCCTGTATGGAAAGCGCCACCATAGGGGTGTGTGTGTGTGTGAGTTCTGTACCAGAGACTAATTCCTTGTGTGTGTGTGTGTAACACACTTGGCCAGTAAAAGTGATTACTGTTATCAGTTTAAAGAAAGTGTCAGTACATAGTGATCACTGCAGTTACTCAGAAGTCATTTCCTTCTAGATGCACGTGTTTCATTTGTACAGCTGCAACACAGTCGACACAACAGACAATACTCAGTGAACAGAAAGAAGTACAGTACATTTATTCAAGTTCTGTACTAAAGTAGAATCTAGAACTTGAGCATTTCTGGTTACTTTATAGCTCTACTGCATTGTATTTAACTGACAAGATATAAAGTACTTAGAGAAGTATTAATAGATTTTATGTCACTTGGGGGTGGCGACATACAGTATGACAAGAAGTGGATTTAGCTAAAAACTGTTTGTTTACACAACCAGCAGGCACAGAGCAACATTATCATCCTATACAAGTAGTATTTGTGCCAAATATTCACTCTTTCTTTAGCTGTAGCTCTGTTTGAGGCATCCATCAACTCCTGATTAAAAGCTGCTAAATGCTTCACTTTCTTCACCAGCTGGTCTCCTTTAATCTGTGTTCTACTTGGTGCTGGACAGGGAAGTGGACAGCGAAAGTGAACCATGCTTTAAAAATGCTGCAAAACCAAAGCTAAGAGTGAAAAGGGGCTAAAAAGAGCCTTGGAGTAGTAGTTTTGGACAAGTTTATAATGGATAAACACCTTTAACATTACAGAGTACATTAATATATTGTCAATATATGAACAATGATCAGTGCAGCTTTAAATTCAGCTCTACTTTGACCTGCTTGCATCACTAATAATCATTTGATATCATACAATACGATACTTTTATTTACAAAAATTAAAGTTCTTCTGACCATCAGACATGCAGAAACCTTCAGGAATGTCAGACCTTTTAAAGAAGACCTTTGTAATCACCTTTATTTGGCCAAGTATGTTACACACAAGGAATTTGTTTCCGGTACAGAACCTGTGGCGCCAATTCAATCAATGGCTCTAACCATCGGGGGCAACTTGGGGGTTCAGTGTCTTGCCCAAGGACACTTCGACATGTGGACTGTAAGCACCGAGATTCGAACCTCCGATTAGGAGACGACTGCTCTACCCACTGAACCACAAGTAAGTAAACAAAATTTGATACCGTCAAGGAACATCGAAAGTATAGCATTTTCAAATACTGTTTTTATGCAAGCAAATTACAATTAATCAAGTGTCCACTGAACATGGACGTCATGGGTATATTTCAACTTCATCTGCTATGTTTTCAGTTTTAACCTTTTTCACAGATGTCTGTTGCTATTATTGCAGTGTCTTCAAACATTTTGCGCAGCTTCACTCCATTGTGTCTAGCATCTTAATATTGCTTCACATCTATGTGTGTGTTATTTTGAATGTCTGTGTGTGCATTGGTTCTCATGTACCTTGCTGGGGGGGAACGTGTGGGGCTCGTGCTGGAAAGTCTTCCAGGTGTCTCAGCTTCATTTGCTCCATACATGCACTACAGAGGTGAACAAAGACACCGTTCATGATTAATAACAATGTTTATTAATACACACAGAGGACAAATGTAGATACACCTATGAAATGTCTTTCTTGATAATATGCCAGCAGCCCTTTGACTTTGACGACAAACACGGTAAAGCCAAAGTCATCTCAAGATGCTGATGCAGCATCTGATTAGCAATTGAGATGGAGTGCAGGGAGAGAATGTCCACACAGAAGGACCGTTTAACCCTGGATCACAGGAATGAATTTAAACTTCACTCAAGTGGAGCACACAACATGACTGAGTGAGCTGTGTGACAGCGGCATAAACCTTCCACATACCCACATGTGGGGTACAAATAATAATCACAGTGGAAACAAGGATGCGTTATGAACTTTTCGTTTCCATTTCAGAGGTAACTGTTTACCGTGCTGTGACTTCCCGTTTGAGCCTGTCAATCTCAGCCAGGGCCTGAGTCAGTTTATCCTGAAGCTCCTCCTTCTTCTGGTTCAGCTTCTCTCTGGCTTCTCGCTCCGCTAGGAAATCTGCCTTGTAGATCTCAGCCTGAGCAAACACCAGGACAGGGACAGAGGGAGAGAGATAGGACTTTATTCAACAAAAGCCATTTTGTTTTACTTTAGTCTATCTGTTACATAAACATGTCCAAATGTGTATGAGTGATACACTAGCTGTGTATAACCGACAAGAGACTCAGACAACAGGCTAAATTAACTACCCTGATGTTCAGAATATGTCTAGGCCGTCCCTGGTAGGCTGGTGGTTAAGGTGCAGCGCTCTCGCCGCTGTGCCCCGGGTTCGAATCAAGGTTGCGTCAGAAAGGGCATCTGGCGTAAAACACGTGCCAAATGTCAACATGCGAGTCGTCAGTTTGACGATTCGCTGTGGTGACCCCTAAATGGGAAAAGCTGAAAGTGACTTTCTTTTATGTTCAAAATGTGACTGTCATTCATGTGTTCACTTAACTTAAATACAGTGTATATTGGTTGTGTTGTTTTCATTGGGGCACATTCTGCTTCGGTCACCAATAAGCTCAGGCCTACCCTGATGTCAGGAATGGCAGATTCTCTATTAGAGCACAGCATTAACTTGTACAAAGAGATCTTAAACACCACATCCTTGAACTGAACCATGTCTCTGCCTGCCAGAGTTACCAGTGTTTCATCCTCAATGACATTTTTCAGTTAACAGTAAGGAAACAGGTGAAACAAATACTGTCACAAAATTTATACATGCAAAGGTTCTCTCTATAATTTCATTAATGCAAATTCCTTTAATGTGTGTCATTCTTCCATACAAGCTGACCTTTTGATATTGGCCTTATTAAATATTAAATTTACAGACTGTCAACTTAGATTGTTATATTACAGTTATCGGTACTTGTGTTTATTAATTTGACAATTTTTAGAATGTTTTAATCTATGAATAAACAATAATATATGCACTTTTTTGTAAATATTGACATATTGGCTTGTATGGGTTTAATTCTGACTGGCAGCACACCACTGGCATGGATGTATTGTTATGCAATTACAATGTGATGATGTCATTAGTATGCAAATTAGCATAAGTCATTATCTAGTGACATTTAGCAGCTTTTCAGTGAAAATAGTTGGCAACACTGGACACAGTGTCTAACCTTGACTGAGTTATGAACGGTGGTCTAACACTTAGCATAGCTTAAAACGAAAAGAATCACTTTCAAAGTCACTAGCCCTGTTTCCAACAAAGGAACTTCCTCCCAGGAACAGGAACCTTTTGTGGAGCTTAGTTCCTCCACCTGTGTTTCCACCAGAGGAACTAGAGAATGTTCTCCGACTTTAGCTCCAGTGAATGAAAAGTACCAGTTACTTTCCGGTAGAAACACACCTACTGACACCGAAACCCAATGCCAGGTTCCTATATACTCTGTATCTACAGGACCTAAACACAGTGCAGATTTCGGTGCCTCAAATTAGCCTCTGTGACTGTACCTGTGCAGTGAGGACAGGAACGGTCTCCAGCGAACCTTTCTGTTGCTCCACCTCCTCCTTCAGTTTATCAATTAGATCCTGCTTCAGGGCCAGCGCTCGCTCTGCCTCCTCCAGTCGGCTACACAAATCCCCTCCCTGGAACACACAGATTAATGTTAAGATATGACTCCATGACCTAAATAGAAGAAGAAGAACCTTTATTTTATTATAACACTGTGACACGTACAACAAAATTTTGTTTGGAGCCGAGGGCCCCGGGCTGCTGCGTGCACATGCGCCACCATCACAGGCAACTTGGGGGTCTCAGTGTCTTGGCCACGGACACTTCGACATGTTGGCCTTTAG